GAACACCATCCCAACGGTGAAGCATGGAGGTGGAAACATCATTCTTTGGGGATGCTTTTCTGCAAAGGGGACAGGACGACTGCACCGTATTGAGGGGAGGATGGATGGGGGCCATGTATCGCGAGATCTTGGCCAACAACCTCCTTCCCTCAGTAAGAGCATTGAAGATGGGTCGTGGCTGGGTCTTTCAGCATGACAACGACCCGAAACACACAGCCAGGACAACTAAGGAGTGGCTCCGTAAGAGGCATCTCAAGGTCCTGGAGTGGCCTAGCCAGTCTCCAGACCTGAACCCAATAGAAAATCTTTGGAGGGAGCTGAAAGTCTGTATTGCCCAGCGACAGCCCCGAAACCTGAAGGATCTGGAGAAGGTCTGTATGGAGGAGTGGGCCAAAATCCCTTGTAGTGTATTAAGATTATGTCTTTGTTAAATGTTTTTCATGAAGAAATGGAATGTTGGTTATGTTAGTATCAAAAGGCAATGTTTAGTATAATGTCACATATAATAGACAGGAAGTGTGTTGTAAACTGGTGATTGGCCAGAAGAGGGAGCCCATCTTGTTGCATTGTTTATAAATAGGGGTACACGAAGAAGATAGGGCAGAGCAGCCATTAGAATGGGAGGACACTGCTCTCCAGACCTCGCGAGTCTGTCACTCATGCTGAAGCTTGTGATCTGAATAAACCTTATGATCAACGTTCCGTATGAGCAGACTCCTTTTGTTCATCAGCAATAATTGCCACCACTCACTCGATACGACACCCTGCTGCAGTGTGTGCAAACCTGGTCAAGACCTACAGGAAACGTATGATCTCTGTAATTGCAAACAAAGGATTCTGTACCAAATATTAAGTTCTGCTTTTCTGATGTATCAAATACTTATGTCATGCCATAAAATGCAAATTAATTACTTTAAAATCATACAATGTGATTTTCTGGATTTTTGTTTTAGATTCCGTCTCTCACAGTTGAAGTGTACCTATGATAAAAATTACAGACCTCTACATGCTTTGTAAGTAGGAAAACCTGCAAAATCGGCAGTGTATATATATATATATATATATTTTTTTTTTTTTTTTTTTTTTTTTTTTTTTTGCTTAACAGGTGGGGCTCTGCTCCACCTGCCCTGAATGACGGGTCGCTCATCACCAAGCTGTCACAGTCTGTTCTCTGTCTTACTCAGATGATAATGATGTCACTGTCTGTTTGGTGGAATCAGGTGTGTCTCTATAAGTACCAGATGTCTTCTGACTGGCTCATAATCACTGTGATTCACATACAGAGAACACTGTGTTTTGGGACTGGAGTAATTATCACACGCACAGGCATCCATAAGACACCCAAAACACACCCAAAAAGGTGTGCTTCATAACGCTGTTTGTAGTTGTTTAAAAAAATAAAACTGTCTCAATGTAAACGGATATTAGATTTATTAAGTAAATCATACTTTTTTTGTCAATGTCTGAATTGTAGTAGTGTATACTCCAGTCTGCACTGTTGTAGAGTGGAAAGAAAACATTGGAGTGATTTACTATTGAATTGGAAATGCAGGTACCTTGACATTCTTATGGCGATGTGTGTGTATGTGACAGAGTGCGAAAGATCAGAGACAGAGTTAGATCACAGATAGAGCGACAGACAGAAATAGATGAGAGAGAGAGGGGCGAAATAGACAGGCAGCCAAACTGGTTGTGCACTGCCAATCGAAAGTAAAAGCTTCCAAAAGTTATCCAGGCTGTTCATAACAGCACATGTAGCCAAGAGGATATTGAGAAAGGGTTAGAGGTAAGACAGGGTATTAAAATGGACATACGCTCTTAGCATTGCTGACAATGAGAGAGATGGGCGAGGGAGGGAGCAGACATGAAGGCCCAACCCTGTGCCAAACCTACTGCACTGTTGAGTGAGTGAGTCCGTGAGAGATTCATAGTTCATTCTGATGTAGCCATGCCACTGAGCACCTTTACACCTACCAACTTTCCATTCTAGAATCCGACATTAACAATAAATACAAAAATGAGGCATGGACATAACACTATTATCATGTTTCTGTTAACTATCTAATGATCCCAACCCCATTTTGTTGGAAGGAGTCAGAGTGACACATCCTGTCTGTTGAAGTCTTTGTTAGGGGATATTAGGCGGTGTTCAGTCCAGCTATTTCAGGGTGGATCCCCACTGTACACTGATATTTGGCACGTTCAGTCTCGCTCTGGGATTTGTTGGTGCAGTATGGATTATTAGACATCTAAGGAGAGAAAGAAAGGAGAAAAGTGAACATCATCACTGCCTGAAAGTAACAGGGTGTGTCCCTTGGGTGTGGGGTGTGTTTGGCCCTTCAAGTCAAGAACAATGGCCTGGTTCTAGTTGTGCATACGGTAGAGAAGAAATGGGGTAGAACTGTTTGGTACATTGCAAAATAGAAATGTTACTGTCGTTGTTGTTTCACCCAAAAATACACTGTGAATTGTCTACAAACCTCCATACCCATAGCAGAGATTGGTTATAAACATTTCAGTATTTGTTATAAACATTTCATTACCTTATATCAATAGCCTAGCCCTAGGAGGACACTCCTAAACACCTCTGAGGGATACAGGTAACTGCCAAAATAAAGGCAACACTTGAGTAAATGAGGGATACAAAGTATATTGAAAGCAGGTGCTTCCACACAGTGTGGTTCCTGAGTTAATTAAGCAATAAACATCCCATGCTTAGGGTCACGTATAAAGGAGCATAGGGGGTTTAAAAGTGTGTGTGTGTGTGTGTATGTGTTTCAGTCACCAGATCTCAACCCAATTGAACACTTCTGGGAGATTCTGGAGCACGCCTGAGACAGCGTTTTCCAGCACCATCAACAAAACACCTAATTATGGCATTTCTCGTGGAAGAATGGTATCGCATTGCTCCAATAGAGTTCCAGACACTTTTAGAATCTATACCAAGGCTCATTTAAGCTGTTCTGGCGGCTTGTGGTGGCCCAACGCCCTATTAAGACACTTTATGTTGGTGTTTCCTTTATTTTGGCAGTTACCTGTATATGCACATGCAAAACACTCTTCATTCTAAACATTGTCCGTTCAATAAGAGACACTAATCATGGATTCTGCTGCTCCATACATATCAAAGAGATATCTCATGATACAGAGATAGGACCAGTGGTGTTACCACTATAAACAAAATTTACCACTATTTTAGCAGGGTGTATAGGGAGCATGACTTTTTTTTACTGTTACCAGCAATCAAAGTTTACCCACCTATTGTTTTTGCCACTACATCACTGGATAGGACCACATGCTATGATATTATGTATTATACACCATGCAGTTAAATGTCGGTGCATTGATGTTTCTTTACAGTAGCCTAATTTAATTGATAAGAAGCAAATATGAATGGCTGAAGCTTTACTATAGTAATTACTAGAGTGGTGTGGACATAGCCACTGGAGGTAGTTTGGGGGGAGTATATTGCTGAGAATTGTTTTGTCTGGGGAGTATATTGGTCTGCTAATACAGGACTAGTAAAGGACCAGTGCACTACTTTTGTGAGAAAAACAAAAATATATATTAAAAGAAACAAATACAATTCCGATTTTTCACACACACACACACACACCAGAGAGAGTGTACTGATTCCATTAGGGATCAACACAGACAGGATTTAAACACCAGAGGGCAGAATATGTCAATCTGGAAAGTCCACTCTCAGACACATTGTTTAAAAAGAGACACGTCTCAGTTGTTTTATCGTCAGGCCAAAATAAGCATAACGTCTGGCCACTAAGTACCATTTTAAGATGGTGTGGTTGATAACATTGAAAATGTGAGTGTCATATTATTGAAGGTATTGTAAAGCACTTCAGATCAGCTTCATTTGTTCCAGCGTAGCACAATCTATTCACTTGTGTGAGGTTGCTGTTTTATGTTAACATTATGATTAGCCCAGTGGTATTCAAACTCGGGGTCACGTGGAACTGCAATGGGGTCACCAAAAAGGAACAAAATAATAAGAGTACAGATTATTGTATGGGGACAATCCACAAACGTTTTTTAGAAAGATCATTTGAAAAATCAAATTTTATTGAGTAAATGTATGTATTGGTTTCTTTTCATTTTAATAAGACATTAAAATGTAATGGATTGAGGGTTATTTGTTGATGTAAAAATGTACCGATTTTAAGGTTGTATCATTATATTTGGGGTGGGGTGGGGTCACGAGAAATTATTGCGTAAAAAATGTGGGTCCCCAGAAATTGTTGCGGAAAAAATGGGGTCCCCTCTCAAGAAGTTTGAATACCACTGATAGCCTAATGCTATATCACACACACATTGGTGGCCAACTCTCCCAAACTGGAGCAGAGCTTTACATCTGACTCAGACTGGGTGTGTACTCCCATCCCTCCTCCATTTCTCGCGCCTCCTTTCCATTTTAAAGCCTGTACACCTGTACACTATGTGTGTGTCTAAATCTAATTTATTAAACCTAATAAAACCATTACTTTACTTCCCATATTATAGTATTTGGGTATTTAATGTTGCAAACAGAAAAGAGCATTGTACCAACAAATTCATAGTATAATAATCACTTATCCATTTGAGCATTTAGTTTGACTAAGGAGAGAGACAATATTATGATCCTCATTCGACCTTCCCGACCTCAAGAATCTTGCTTGCGAAGAGCGTGACAAATTATTTGCACAGCTTTCCGTCCTATTCCCAGCAGAAGAAAGTTACCCCCACTCAAAATATAATTAACAAAGGGGCGTTACGGCAGCCTACCGTCTGTCTTCGTTTGAGACACCATCGGGCTAGGAGTGGTCTGTCCAAAAACTACACTCCTTGTTCTCACAGTAGTTACTACAATATCTGCGCGACAGCAGACGTCGGAGAGGGTGGCACAGGGACGAACTGCTTCAATGTTTAGGACTACACTTCTTTCAAGACCATTTACCTTTTTTTTTTAACAAAATTGTAAATCATAAACTGGACTGCAAATGAGTATGTACGGCTCTCAAAATAGACTTCCAACAATGAGTCGGAGGACTAATTCTCGACCAGACCTGACAAGCGGCACTCAGGTCGTCGTCGGTGGAAACGGCTATCAACAGGAATATGGAGACGGATACACCTATTCACAAACTTTCTCCAAAAAGTCCATGGGGGGAGGTGGTGGAGGTGGAGGTGGTGGGGGCTACGGAGGGGGAGCAAGGTATGTGCACCTTGCATGCAGAATTAGGCTAAAGGTAGATTAAGAACAGGAAAAAGTTGGACCAATAGTTAATGATTAGTTTACTGTGAATCTGTTGAATACATCCATTGTAGATAGACAGTGGGGAAAAAATCTAACTTTGTTTTGTCAAATACATAAATCCAACATTGTATAAGCATTTTTAATCATAGTGAATTCAGTAGTTATCCCCGATCAGAAGTCGAACCGGGGTCCAGCAACTGTCTAGCCAACACCTTGACGGTTACGCCAAGAGGTCCGAACTTCTTATTTAAGTGGCTAGGTGTTTTGTTGACAGTCGTTGGAGTAGGGTTCGCGTCCCGGATGTGGCGCCCCTTGAGCAGAGATGGGCTGTATTTCTGTTGCATGTATTTGAAATATGTATTTCAATTACTTCTGAGTATTTTGTAATTTGAATTACATTGGGCTGAACTACACTCTAATGTATTTTGTAACAATATATTTTCGAGAGGTGTCTTTCGAGAGCGTCTGCTAAATGAACTAAATAAAAAATTATATGTAAAAATAAACAATTCCAAAGCATGCTTAGTATTATTCTAATAAGCTTCGCGCTGAAACAAGGCCAATAATAATACCCAGTGTGCTTTGCAGTTCATTCAGGAATGTTCATTTTCACATTTACATTTAGGTCATTTAGCAGACACTCTTATCCAGCGTGACTTACAGTCAGTGTATTCAACTAAGATAGATAAACAACAACATATCACAGTCACTGTCAACATTTATGTAAACTGTTACTGAGAATGTTGTTGCTGTTCAGCCAGCTATTTGCAAATGTATTTTTGTATTCTAAAATACATATTTTAATTAAATACATTACAAAATACAAGTATCTTGTAGTTTATTTTGATACATTGATCTTAATGGTATTTTGTAATATTATTAAATACTCAAGAAACACACTGTTTAGACTTAATTAAGAGAAATCAGATTCAATTGAAATTAGGCCTATCTTTGATTTTAGGAATCACATTATTACATTATGATTAGCATTATACAAAGTACTGTGTGTATTGGGTATATTTTGTGAAATTGTTAGATATTACTTGTTAGATATTACTGCACTGTCGGAGCTAGAAGCACAAGCATTTCGCTACACCCGCAATAACATCTGCTAAACACGTGTATGTGACTAATAAAAATAGATTTGATTTGTTTTACATTACGTTTTAAATGACAAAACTACACTCACAATAGTGGTCAATGCCCTGATTCTATACAGGGCTTCAATAGCCTAGGCTACATTATCCAGAATACAATCACAGATTACTCAACTCAACACATATTCTGGGTCAAAGCGGATAGATTTAGATCCATATTGGGCTGTGTTCAAGAGTGAAATGTGTTGGAAACTTTCAACACACTACACACACATACCCCTTAACTTGATCCTCCCCCAGAAAGTGATGTCACCTAATGATGTCGCCTACCTTGTTGATATTGTTAATATTAGTATAATGCCGATTTAATGGATGTTTTGTGTTACAATATTGCCAACTTTGATGGTGTGTTCTTTTTTTTGGTCATGTTTAGTGTGCAGAGCATCCAACACAAAGCTTTCTTCCTGCAAAGCCAGTGTCAGGAGCACCTGCAGAGAGTACAGCAGATTCTCCAGGCAGTAAGTACTCTACACAGGTCAATTATGGATAGAAACACACATGCACGTATGGATGCACATACCCACACACAAACATGTTTGGTTGTGGAATAGCAGCATTAAAATGGGTTTAGCTTTAGCATAATAATTGATCTTTCACTTACAAATATAAAGTCATATTTTTGATATTGTCTTCAATGTTTCTATGTAAACAGGAGTTTTTTGCAATGCTGTTTTTTCTGTGTTGATGCAACATTGGTAACAGCTGTGGTCTTCAGTTGTACTGATAATATTGCACTCATCTAGAATTACTCTCCTGAAAAGGGCTCTTTGCCTTTTTGGCCATGAATAGTCCATTATTATCTCTCCTTGCTGAAGTGTTTTCAGCCATTATTGGTCATATTGGTGTGGTCTTTTTGACCTTGTTGATAGTGTCTTCCTGGTTGTCTTTTTGACAGTGTAGTGCAGCGTTTCCCAAACTCTGTCCTCAGGACCCCAAGGGGTGCACGTTTAGTTTTTTGCCCTAACTACACAGCTGATTCAAATGATCAAAGCTTGATGATTAGTTGATTATTTGGATCAGCCGTGTAGTGCTAGGGCAAAAAACAAAACGTGCACCCCTTGGGGTCCCGAGGGCCGAGTTTGGGAAACTCTGGTGTAGTGTGTACCACAGTAGGCGGTGGCACCTTAATTGGGGAGAACGGGCTCGTGGTAATGGCTGGAGCAGAATAAGTGGAATGATGTCAAATACATCAAACACAAGGTTTCCTGGCTGTTTTGGTGTGTTGACCATGTTGACATAGTAAATTACTGGGCAGTCTTGTGGACAGTGTGGATGTGTTGACAGTACTGTGTTGACTGTACAGTGGAGGAAAAAGTATTTAGTCAGCCACCAATTGTGCAAGTTCTCCCACTTAAAAAGATGAAAGAGGCCTGTAATTTTCATCATAGGTACACGTCAACTATGACAGACAAATTGAGGAAAACAAATCCAGAAAATCACATTGTAGGATTTTTAATGAATTTATTTGCAAATTATGGTGGAAAATAAGTATTTGGTCACCTACAAACAAGCAAGATTTCTGGCTCTCACAGACCTGTAACTTCTTCTTTAAGAGGCTCCTCTGTCCTCCACTTGTTACCTGTATTAATGGCAACTTGTTGAACATTGATAATCTCCCTCGATCTGGGGCTCCACGCAAGATCTCACCCCGTGGGGTCAAAATGATCACAAGAACGGTGAGCAAAAATCCCAGAACCACACGGGGGGACCTAGTGAATGACCTGCAGAGAGCTGGGACCAAAGTAACAAAGCCTACCATCAGTAAAACACTACGCCGCCAGGGACTCAAATCCTGCAGTGCCAGACGTGTCCCCCTGCTTAAGTCAGTACATGTCCAGGCCCGTCTGAAGTTTGCTAGAGTGCATTTGGATGATCCAGAAGAGGATTGGGAGAATGTCATATGGTCAGATGAAACCAAAATAGAACTTTTTGGTAAAAACTCAACTTGTCGTGTTTGGAGGACAAAGAATGCTGAGTTGCATCCAAAGAACACCATACCTACTGTGAAGCATGGGGTTGGAAACATCATGCTTTGGGGCTGTTTTTCTGCAAAGGGACCAGGACGACTGATCCGTGTAAAGGAAAGAATGAATGGGGCCATGTATCGTGAGATTTTGAGTGAAAACCTCCTTCCATCAGCAAGGGCATTGAAGATGAAACGTGGCTGGGTCTTTCAGCATGAGAATGATCCCAAACACACCGCCCGGGCAACGAAGGAGTGGCTTCGTAAGAAGCATTTCAAGGTCCTGGAGTGGCCTAGCCAGTCTCCAGATCTCAACCCCATAGAAAATATTTGGAGGGAGTTGAAAGTCCGTGTTAACCAGCAACAGCCCCAAAACATCACTGCTCTAGAGGAGATCTGCATGGAGGAATGGGCCAAAATACCAGCAACAGTGTGTGAAAACCTTGTGAAGACTTACAGAAAATGTTTGACCTGTGTCATTGCCAACAAAGGGTATATAACAAAGTATTGAGAAACTTTTGTTATTGACCAAATACTTATTTTCCACCATAATTTGCAAATAAATTCATAAAAAATCCTACAATGTGATTTTCTGGATTTTTTTTCTCATTTTGTCTGTCATAGTTGACGTGTACCTATGATGAAAATTACAGGCCTCTCTCATCTTTTTAAGTGGGAGAACTTGCACAATTGGTGGCGGACTAAATACTTTTTTCCCCCACTGTATGTGTGTATTGTTGTACTGACCATATGATTGTCCTCCCCCAGGGTGGTCCAGTGGTGGAGGTGGACAAGCTCATGAGTATGTCCTCTGAGGCTATAGAGCAGCTGAAGGGATGTGCCATGGAGCTGCAGCACATGAAACAACCCAATGACAACATCATCCAGAGGTAAGGACAAGTGTCTGTGAGAGAGAGAAAGAGATGAGAGAGAGAGAAAGAGAGAGGTAGTGAGAGTGTACTCGTGTGTGTGAAAGAGAGAGAGAGTGTGTGTTTGATACATTAATTTGCATATTTGTTTGCATTTACATTTGTGGTCAAAAACAGATGGGACGAATCCACTCTTATCTTTCATGTCTGACATTTGCTGTCTCACCCTCCCTACAGCATACAGCATCTCCAGAACATGCAGAGTGGGATCACCTCCTCCATCAGTGGCTCGACCCAGAGGAAGAGCAGGGGCAGCATTGGCTGGGAGGAGAGGGGGAGGTCCTACACTGATGCCATGTCTTGGATCGGCCAACAGAAGGTATTATAGCAATAAAACCTGCATCATTTATCTACCGATTCCCCCTCAAGGTGATTGCAGAGGGTGAAATAGGTGACTGCATCACTCTGGAACTTACCCCCTAGACAATATGCCATCCTTCTCTCAAATCTCCAAACCGGTTTAGAGCAGTAGGATAGATAGTGTGAGAGTGTGTGTGTGTGCAGGGAGGTTGGAGCATGACACCAATCGTATCGCAGATTCTGGCCTGCTGAAACTCAAACCACCAAGATGCGAAAACATAAGCTGCTCAGAAAGAGAGAGAGAGAGAGAGAGAGAGAGAGAGAGAGAGAGAGAGTGAAAGTGAAAGGGGGCGGAGGGTTCAGAGAGAGAGAAAGAGTGATGAAAGAGAAACAACAAACAAGGGGTAGAGAACACATAGCAGAGAGAGAGAGAGATTGAGCAATAGAGAGTGAAAGAAGGGCAAAAGGAGAATAGGAATGTGAAATCTGACACTCACTACTGACTGACGGTGACTGTTAGACTGATGACTTGCATGCCTATGAAAACACGCCTTGCTTCCAACTGATCTGCTCACTCACACACACCACTCCCTACCACTCCCTCTTCCTCTCTCTCACCCCTTACCTATCATTATCTCACCACTGATCATCCCTTGTTCTCAGATGTTTTTCTTTCCCGGATGTTTGTCTTTCTGATTTTGTCACTGCATGTTGTGTTGTGTACATTCTCTCTTTCTCTTTAGCAAGTCAAGTGGATAAAAGTATTGGCAACAGTAAAACGGCAACAATAAAAAGTTTCCCTACTTGCCCTCTCTCTCTCTCTCTCCCTCATGACCCTATTTGAGCCGTCACATGCCCTCTCTCCCCACCCACATATCCCTCTCCTACCTCTTTATTCACTGCGACAGTGTAGCTCACCAAATAGACATTTGTGCATACAACTTACAAACATAAATGCATAAAAAAGGGTGGGGGAAGAAAACAAGGAAGGAGAGAGAGAAAAGAGAGAAGAGAAAGGGAGAGTGCAGCTCAGTAGAAACTGGCTGGGGGTGGTTGGGTGGCTGGGGTGGGGGTGGTTGGCCACCCAACCACCCCAGCTAGTTTTGACTGAGCACAGCACTCACCCTTTTTCTTATCAAAGATGAGTGGAGTGGAGTGAACTCTCTACAGGGGGAATAGATGGAATAGTTTCCTGCTGATGACAGACACACTGACAGTGGGAACAGTTAATGATTGTTTACTTCCATCTAGAGGATAGAGTTAGGAAATACATTTATCGAAGGTTCCATACAAACAGATGTGTTTCAGTAGCACTTTGTCACTGTCCTACAACTGATATGGAAATATTCAAAAGAATTGCTAACTAAATTACACCAAATTTTACCTTTTGTAATGAATCCTGAAGCCGAGAGGTTGTTATTCAGTAATAATAATGTAATTAAGCTTTTGGTGACATGATGTTTCGCAGTGTCGTTGAGGTAAAGGAAGCTGTATCTCTCCTGTGTGTCTGTCTGTATGCAGCGTCTGATCGAGACGTCGCCATGGGGTGAGGATGCAGCCTCCATCGAGCAACAGATCCTGAGCCAGAACAAGTTCCACAGCTCTATACAGAGGAGCCAAGAGGTGGATCGTGCCAGAGATGAACTGGTACGTATTGTAGAGTTGACTGTAACTAGGGCCCATAGTTCCCCCTGGTCAGGTCACATAGTTGTGTAAAACGTCTGACCCTACTGATCGTCTGTGTCTTTACTCAGGCCCAAATTGATGACAAGGGTGGCTTCCATTCCCTGCAACAAGAATGGGACAGTCTTCAGGTATGAGTCCATATTAACAACAAACAATTGAACAAAATCAAATGATTTGATCATTCATTTCTTCAGAGTTATGATTAGTGTATTATCATTGAGCTCTTCTCCTCTGTCAGAAAATGTCATTTGCTCGTACGGGCCAGCTAAGAGAACTGCAGAACATAATCGAGGAGATCTCCAGGGCCATCATGTGGGTCAACGAGAGAGAGGAGGAGGAGCTGGTGTTCAACTGGGGAGACAATAACATTGATGACTACATCCCCAAGAAACAGGAAAGCTACTCTGTAAGGCTTTACACTGACATGATATCTATTCAGTACACTCATTAGTCTCATGTTACACTTCCTAGTCTCGTTTTCACTTCGCTATTTACAAACTAACATGAGAGCAATGGATATCAAAGTCCATGCACTGGTAACCATGAGTAGATCCACCTAGATACCTATACTGTAGTAGCCATTTTGAAGGTCCGCTCACTGTCTCTCTTTCCAGAAACTGATGAGTGCCCTGGAGGTAAAGGAGAAAGAGCTGAACAAACTGAAGCAGAAAGTAGATGGCCTCCTGAAGAACAATCACCCAGCCTCAGACAAGATCGAGGTGAGAGTCACTTTACCCTTAGCTAGGGTTGAACATTTCCCCAACTTTGCCAAAACCTGCAGGGTTTCTAGAAATTCCGATTGGAAGATTCCTGGAATCAGGAGGGAATAAGCAGGAAAACCAGGGAATGTTACCGGAATTTTGCAACCCTACCCTTAGCTTCCCATAAGCAGTGAAGTGGAAACATGAGTTTGTTCTACACTATTTATGGAGGTGCTGCTAGCTAAAAGGTGCTGTTTGTTTATTCCCAAGGCCTACATGGACACTCTGCAGACCCAGTGGAGCTGGCTGCTCCAGATCACCAAGTGTATTCATGTCCACCTGAAGGAGAACGCTGCCTACAGTCAGGTGAACACACACGTGTATATACTTCCATAAACACATACACGTGTATATACTTCCATAAACACACAGACGTGTGCACAGACATGCATGCACAGACACACAGACTTAACAAAGAGCTGCAGTTAGTTTCAGAATGGGTGGCAGGGAATAAGCTAGTCCTAAATATTTCTAAAACTAAAAGCATTGTATTTGGGACACATAATTTACTAAACCCTAAACCTCAACTAAATCTTGTAATGAATAATGTGGAAATTGAGCAAGTTGAGGAGACTAAATTGCTTGGAGTAACCCTGGATTGTAAACTGTCATGGTCAAAACATATTGATACAACAGTAGCTAGGATGGGGAGAAGTCTGTCCATAATAAAGCGCTGCTCTGCATTCTTAACAGCACTATTAACAAGGCAGGTCCTACAGGCCCTAGTTTTGTTGCACCTGGACTACTGTTCAGTCGTGTGGTCAGGTGCCACAAAGAGGGACTTAGGAAAATTGCAATAGGCTCAGAACAGGGCAGCACGGCTGGCCATTGGATGTACACAGAGAGCTAACATTAATAATATGCATGTCAATCTCTCCTGGCTCAAAGTGGAGGAGAGATTGACTTCATCACTACTTGTATTTGTGAGAGATATTGACATGTTGAATGAACCGAGCTGTCTGTTTGAACTACTGGCACACAGCTCGGACACCCATGCATACCCCACAAGACATGCCACCAGAGGTCTCTTCACAGTCCCCAAGTCCAGAACAGACTATGGGAGGTGCACAGTACTACATAGAGCCATGACTACATGGAACTCTATTCCACATCAAGTAACTCATGCCAGCAGTAAAATTAGATTTAAAAAACAGATAAAAACACCTTATGGAACAGCGGGGACTGTAAAGCAACACAAACATAGACACATGCATACAAACACACGATAACATACACACTATACACACATGTACACATGGATTTTGTGTTATAGATATGTGGTAGTAGAGTAGAGGCCTGAGGGCACACACTTAAAATGTTGTGAAATCTGTTATGAATGTAGTATTGTAATGTTTTTAAAATGTATAACTGCCTTAATTTTGCTGGACCCCAGCTAATGGGGATCCATAATAAATACAAATACAAATACAGACACACACACACACACACACACGAGGGATCCTGCTTAAAAGCTACCATAGGTAATTTTTTACTAAACTTCCCTCTCCACTTCAGTTCTTCAAGGAGGCCAATGAGACCTACAGCAAGCTGCAGAAGGAACATGAGAACATCCGTAAGAAGTTCACCTGTGATAAAGGAACACCTCTGGAGAACCTCACTGAGCTCCTCAAGAACCTTGAGGTACCTAAAGCTGAATGACATCTGGGAATGTTTCGATGGGATCTCTCCCACAACTATCATATTATACATTTTACATTTTAGTCATTTAGCAGACGCTCTTATCCAGAGCGACTTACAGTTTAGTGAGTGCATACATTTTTCATACAAATAGTTGACATGAGCATGATGGACATGAAGTGAGCATTTTTGCTGTATATTAGATAACCCTCCTTACTACTCATACAGATGCCGGATCTTAATTTGATCACCCTGTTGCAGGATAACTTACCTGCAATGCAGAAAATGTAAAACTTGCTGTGTATTTGAGGTTTGAAAGGCTTCTGAAGTTTGTAATTTCCACTTTGAAATTTCAGACTTGATTTTTCCTTAATTTTCTTAAGGAAAAATCAAGTCTGAAATTTCAAAGTGGAAATTACAACCTTCAGAAGCCTTTTTAATCCTCAAATACACTGCACATTTTACATTTCCTGTAAAACATGGCCATTAATTATAATCCACATAATAATTCACATTTCCTGTTGCTGCAGGATTATTTTCCTGCTGTTGCAAACTGGCTCAAATTAAGATCCTATATTTGTGTGTTGTTGAGGGTAACTCCTTCCCCCATATGTTAGCATGGCAAACCGGTCTGGCTTGTTTAAAGAAATTGGCATGTGCACAACAGAATCCATATGACAGGACAGAATGCATATGACATACGGGTATATTACAATTGTTTAGGGTGGTTCATGTATGCCAAGACATGATTGATATGTAACTGAAATATTGTTGGTGAGAAAGTTGTAAATATAAAAAATAGGTTGGAATTATTTAAATGGGAGAACTAGTGGCTTTAGGGATAACTATAGGACTATTGGACCTGTTTCCGTGACCTTTATATGACCTGTGTGTTTGTCCCCAGAGAGAGAAGGAGATGATCATGGAGAATAAGAGGCAGGTCAAACACCTGGTCAACAAGTCCAAGAGCATCGTGAGGCTGAGACCACGTAACCCTGAGGAGAAGAGTAGTAGTCCTAGTCCTGTTATAGTACAGGCCCTGTGTGACTTCAAGCAAGACCAGGTCAGACACACACACACAGAGACCAGGTCAGACACACACACACAGAGATAAGAAAAAACACACATTCTAAATTGTTATCCCATGATCTTACGTAGCATATACACATTCTCACAATGCTTGTATACTACCACTACCACACCCAACACACACGTACAATATTTGCAGAGAAGAACTGGCACAGTAGTAAGTTTACACTGTTTTGCATGTGTTCTGTGTGTCCTACAGAAAGGGATCTTCAAGGGGGACGAGGGCATCTTGAAGGACAACTCACAGCGCAGTAAGTGGCAAGTGACGGGTCCTGGAGGTCTGGACATGCTGATCCCCTCTGTGTGCCTCCTCATCCCCCCTCCCAACCACCTCAGCATCGGACTGGCCAGCAAGTAAGACCCCCTCAACATCCACGCTGTCTGGCTCTCTGACATTACTGCCATTTCAATAACTCTGCCATAAAAATGACATTACATTACATATTAAAAGCTCATAAAGCTTCATAAAAGAGAATTAAATCTGGTGTCAGAATAAATCAACTGACTTACATTTTACATTTTACATTTTAGTCATTTAGCAGACGCTCTTATCCAGAGCGACTTACAGGAGCAATTAGGGTTAAGTGCCTTGCTCAAGGGCACATCAACAGATTTTTCACCTAGTCGGCTCGGGGATTAGAACCAGCGACCTTTCGGTTACTGGCACAACGCTCATACTATTATGACACCAACAGATAATTGATTAGTAACTGATCCTATGTTGTGTATTGCAGGAATGAGCAGTACTACGAGGCCATCATGGGCATCTGGAATCAGCTCTACATCAACATCAAGAGCCTCATCTCCTGGCAGTACTGTGTTAAAGACATCAACCACATTAACTCTCTCACCCTCACCATGGTAAGGCTTTACACAAGACTACCACTTACACAGCAGCCTGCATCTGCTAGATGTACAACACAGCATCTGTCCCATAAAACAATAGTACTGTACTCACAATATAAACAGGAAACAAAGTTATATTAACTTGTGTTTTAGAAATGTCAAGTGATGGTCTTATTTAGACATTATTGTTTAACTCTAACATCTCAATATATTTCTATCCACAACAAGAAGTAAGTACACTGCTCAAAAAAATAAAGGGAACACTTAAACAACACAATGTAACTCCAAGTCAATCACACTTCTGTGAAATCAAACTGTCCACTTAGGAAGCAACACTGATTGACAATAAATGTCACATGCTGTTGTGCAAATGGAATAGACAACAGGTGGAAATTATAGGCAATTAGCAAGACACCCCCAATAAAGGACTGGTTTTGCAGGTGGTGACCACAGACCACTTCTCAGTTCCTATGCTTCCTGGCTGATGTCTTGGTCACTTTTGAATGCTGGCGGTGCTTTCACTCTAGTGGTAGCATGAGACGGAGTCTACAACCCACACAAGTGGCTCAGGTAGTGCAGCTCATCCAGGATGGCACATCAATGCGAGCTGTGGCAATAAGGTTTGCTGTGTCTGTCAGCGTAGTGTCCAGAGCATGGAGGCGCTACCAGGAGACAGGCCAGTACATCAGGAGACGTGGATGAGGCCGTAGGAGGGCAACAACCCAGCAGCAAGACTGCTACCTCCGCCTTTGTGCAAGGAGGAGCAGAAGGAGCACTGCCAGAGCCCTGCAAAATGACCTCCAGCAGGCCACAAATGTGCATGTGTCTGCTCAAACGGTCAGAAACAGACTCAATGAGGGTGGTATGAGGGCCCGACGTCCACAGGTGGGGGTTGTGCTTACAGCCCAACACCGTGCAGGACGTTTGGTATTTGCCAGAGAACACCAAGATTGGCAAATTCGCCACTGGCGCCCTGTGCTCTTCACAGATGAAAGCAGGTTCACACTGAGCACATGTGACAGACGTGACAGAGTCTGGAGATGCCGTGGAGAATGTTCTGCTGCCTGCAACATCCTCCAGCATGACCGGTTTGGCGGTGGGTCAGTCATGGTGTGGGGTGGCATTTCTTTGGGGGGTCGCACAGCCCTCCATGTGCTCGCCAGAGGTAGCCTGACTGCCATTAGGTACCGAGATGAGATCCTCAGACCCCTTGTGAGACCATATGCTGGTGCGGTTGGCCCTGGGTTCCTCCTAATGCAAGACAATGCTAGACCTCATGTGGCTGGAGTGTGTCAGCAGTTCCTGCAAGAGGAAGGCATTGATGCTATGGACTGGCCCGCCCGTTCCCCAGACCTGAATCCAATTGAGCACATCTGGGACATCATGTCTCGCTCCATCCACCAACGCCACGTTGCACCACAGACTGTCCAGGAGTTGGCGGATGCTTTAGTCCAGGTCTGGGAGACCATCCGCCACCTCATCAGGAGCATGCCAAGGCGTTGTAGGGAGGTCATACAGGCACGTGGAGGCCACACACACTGCTGAGCCTCATTTTGACTTGTTTTAAGGACATTACATCAAAGTTGGATCAGCCTGTAGTGTGGTTTTCCACTTTAATTTTGAGGGTGACTCCAAATCCAGACCTGCATGGGTTGATAAATTTGATTTCCATTGATAATTGTTGTGTGATTTTGTTTTCAGCACATTCAACTATGTAAAGAAAAAAGTATTTAATAAGATTATTTCATTCATTCAGATCTAGGATGTGTTGTTTAAGTGTTCCCTTTATTTTTTTGAGCAGTGTATATATTAAATGAGCGCTCTTTAAGAGTAGTCCTCTTAGCCCACTGTTGTTGTAAATTTCACTCTTCCTTCCTCTCTGTCACTCTCTCTCCTAGCTGTCCCAGATGCGTCCTGAGGAGTACCGTAACATCATAAAGAGTCTGGAGACTCACTACCAGGAGTTCCTCCGCAACAGCCATGGCTCCGAGATGTTTGGAGAGGATGACAAGAAGAAGATGGAGGGCCAGTATACTGGAGCCCAGACCCACTACGACACACTGGTCATAGGGCTGCCTACATTCAGTGAGTCCTAGGGCGCCTAGTCTACCCAGTGGAGCTTCTTAGATGGCTTAACGCCTTCCCTGTCTACACTGCAAGCTACATCAGTTCAAAATAATTAGTAGAGTCAGGGAGGTTAAGATAATTAATTTAATCATTTAAATTGGACACTGTGACCCCAATTGCTACAGATGTTTGCCAAGAAATCACTCAGATTATGTTGGATATAGGTTACTATATGAATATGTTATGCTACTGAATTCGATGCCAGTGCACTAAATTCAAATTGGTTCCATTTCATTTCACAGATCAATCCAAGCAAGAGGTGGTCAAGCCCATCAAGGCGGAGACAACCAAGATCACCAAGACCTCAGTGTCTAAGACCAGCACCTCCACCCAGGGCTCTACCCTGAGCCTGACCCTGCTCAGTGACCTCCACGCCCTCAGACGCAGGCTGGAGCTGGCCGAGTCCGACCTTAGCCACCACCTCCATGTGCCCCTGGGGGAGAACAGTGTGCAGGAGTGCTCACAGCGCCTCCTAAAGCTGGAGGTATGCAACTACATCTACAACAGAGACATTCAATAGAGAAAATGGGCCTGTGAAAACTTTTACAAACTTTGCATTTCTTCCTCCTGTCTTTGATGTAATATCTGAGATAACATGACTGGATAGGCGTTAGCAATGTAAGGGAACCTGTGTGGTCAATCCTATCCAATTGTGTCTTTCTCTGAATAATCTTGATATCCTAAATGCAACCTATTCTACATGATGGACTAACCCTTGTTCCTGATTCTCAGGGCATACACCATGATCTGGATGGGGTGCGTGATGAGTACCTGAGGCTGAGGGAGAATGTCCTCAGGCAGCTGGAAGGGACAGAAGCAGACTCAGAGCAGGCCAAGTTCCTCAGGAAAGAGCTGGACCTCCTCAACCAGAAACTGGGAGATCTGCAGGGGCTATCCTCTGCCTACCTCCAGAGGTACTGCTCTTGCAGAAGCTTCTACCGTCTAGTCTTCTTCCTATGTTAAGAAATGGTAGCGAAAACGAACTGGTTAGCATGTGTTTATTGAGGGTACGTGTCACCTCTGTGAAATGGTTATAGTTGGTTGTGGTGTTGTTTCACTGTTGAAATGTATTGTTTGTTGAGGTAGTGTTGTAACGTGTTGCGTGTGTGTCTGCTTTCCCTGTGTAGACTGTCATATCTGCGGAACTTGCTCCAGAGCCTCCTCCAGGCTGAGGATGTCATCAAGGTCCACGAGGCCCGTCTGACTGAGAAGGAGACCACCTCCCTGGATCTCAATGAGGTGGAGCACTACATATCCACCCTCAAGGTCAGACAGGCCATCAATCACCACTGCTGTCAATTAATATATTTTGATCCATGTTTAGTGTGTACATTATGCAGTGCTGTGACTGTTTGACTGTGAACGGCCTAATATAGATAAATATATGATGCTTCTGGGTTGTTGTGTGGTCTGCTGCACAATGGCTATGTCAGTGATGGCATTGCAAAGGGATGTGTATTTCAACTAGAAGAGTGTCAGTGTTTTTCCTGAGGCTTGTCTGTCTGTCTGTCTGCCCCTACAGCAAATGAAGTCTGACCTGGAACATAAGAGAGACTTGCTGAAGGCCATGGAGAGTGACCTGGCCAATGCAGTGCATGTGAACAGTCAGATCTCAGGCTCCTTCCACAAGTGTGATGTGGACCTGTCCAAGTACGCTGACCTGGTGGGTCAGATGACTGACCGCTGGCGACGCATCCAGACCCAGATTGACAGCAGGTGAGGGCATTTAGATCTCTAAACATACACTTCTCACATACACTCTTACAAACTCTTCTAAACACACATAGCAAATTCTCCAGTGTTAAATCAACACTGACAGTGTTCAATTTAACACTGGCCCAGTGTCTATACAGGTCCACACATTTGAGTGTTAAATTAACACTGTGCTTAGTCCTGACGCTGTTACACTTTGTCAGTGGTAGGTAATTAACACTTTCAGTGTTATGCAATAACACCTTATGTAGTATTTTTAACACTAGGAAGTGTATATAGTTTGCACCAATGGTGTTACGCAGTAACGCCTCATAGTATTTTTAACCATCACACCAAGATGTCTGTATCTCTTGAAAAGGTCACTCAGTGTTGGGTTAAGGATATCATTTAATATTTACTGGTCTTTATTGCAACATGCAAAAACTTTAATAAACATAACCATAGACCACTGAAACTGTACAATACTTCCACGGGTGGCTAAAAATGATGAATTGAAAGCCACGCACCCACTAAGCCACGCCTCCAATATACTTTCCCAGTGTGCCTTGACTTTGAGTGAATTGTAGCGTTGTTACCACCCATGACTGTATTTGTTAGTGAAAGAAACATGGTTATTGAATTTGTAAATTCTTTGTCCTGTGGACTTCACCAAATGAGTTCTTACTGTAGGCAAATTGTATCATAAAAATGTAACTGTTTGTGACAATATCTTACACATCATAAGGCATTACTTTGAAGGCCATGTTTTACCCTAACACAGTGATGTTAGGAACCTACTGGTTTACAGGCCACATCTAGTGATGTTACATTTCATACCGGAGCTCTGAGGCATGCGTCGAAATCGCTAAGCAGTTTACTTCGAAGCAGTGTGCCGATGCTTGTATCACTTTATCAGAAGCATGTGATCAATGACATCCAAAGCTTCATTTTGTCGAACAACCACCTGATTGGTTTGGTATTGGTTTCGGTAGAAGACAAAATGGCTACCCTACCCTGCGCACACGCAAGTGCCACTAGAGTACTTCTGTAGCTCAGTTGGTAGAGCATGGCGCTTGCAACGCCAGGGTTGTGGGTTTGATTCCACGGGGGGCCAGTATGAAAAATTTATGCATTCACGAACTGTAAGTTGCTCTGGATAAGAGCGTCTGCTAAATGACTAAAAAAATCAAAGCCTCGTGTAATGAACCTATATTCGACAAAATTGGCTGGAAACGCTCAGTGCTTCAGGAAGCCACATCAGGCCTGCAAGTCACATTATGCTGGCTTGCAAAGTGATATATAATAACTATTGGAATCCAGACAGAGTTAGGACAACCAACAGTTAGACTTTTTATTCACCCACAACCTGCATTCAGAATGACTGTCAGTGTTGGGAACATTGATAAAGGAGACTACCTAAACCATTTAAACTGGAACAACTATTTCAGTAACGGGTGCAATAAATCTAACTAACTGATTGGGTTAGTTTAGAAAAATGTATGTTATTTATCTTTGTGTAGAATAAGATTAATCAATCAATCAGTGTACATGCAAAAACACAGATATTAAAAACAATCCCCCAAAAATCTAGCTGCAGTAGAGCATGCTGGGAAATAAGATAAAGATGGGTGTGGTTTTTATGAAGGTATGTTTTACTCTCCATAGAGTAAAACGGTCTCAATCAGACTCTCACACTCACCACTGGTTATTAACACCAACACTGGGATTATTTTACACCACTTAGTGTTCATTTCACTCCTAGAGAGTTAATTGAACTCCTGAATCAACACTAGAAATGTTACACTGAAAATGCAACACTAGGTAACACTGGCCAATTTGCTGTGCATGAAATCACTCTCATATCCAGTTCTGATGTTTCATAATAACTGCTTCTATGCACTAGTAGGGGATCCATCACACTCAGCCTCCTTGCATTCCATAGTCTTATTTTTGCTGGTAGTCAGCAACTCAATTGACCATGGGACTATCTCTCCTTTTTCTTCTCCCTCTCTCTCTCCCTCCCTCCTTTTCTCTTTTCTCCATCCCTCTCTAATAAGAGTGTGGGACCTGGAAAAGCAAGAGAAACAGCTAAGACATTTCCAGCAGAGCAGTGGAGTGGTAGACCAGTGGATAGACAATGCTAGACAGCGCCAGGACACCCTGCAGGCAGCCAAGTTCAGCGACATCCAGGCCCTCATGGAGCACCTCAACCAACAGAAGGTAGGACACTGCACAGCCATCCCAACAATATTTCCCAAAATGATGTAGTACAATTCTGTACAGTACAGAGACTGACTGGTTGTTTCAGGTATGATTGATAGATTTGAATGCACTCATGTTTGATGGACAGGTGCTGCATAGTGAGATCAAAGGGAAGAAGGAGAAGGTGGAGGATGTACAGAAGGATGCGGACACCTGTGCTGCCTCCATCAAGGTGAATGTCATGCTTTCACAACCTCTCTCAACACCTTGAATTTGGTTGTCACTAAAAGTATCTTACCAGTTTGCATATCACATCGCCAACTAAAACCGTATCATACTGTAGCATGTAAAATAAAATACAAATAAATACTTGTGTTCATACATGGTTCTACTCCATTCCAGGACTATGAGCTGCAGCTGGCCTCCTACAGTGCTGGACTGGAGACCCTGCTGAACTTTCCCATTAAGAAAACCATGCTCCAGTCCCCTGCCACTGTGGTCAGAGAAAAGGTAATGAACCAGCCTGTCCAACAGGGGGCAGTAGACAGTGTTATAAAGACGTCAGGGCCGTATTGATCAAGTGTCTCAGAGTAGGATCAGTTTAGCTTTTTAGAGCAAAGTTAATATGATTATGTGGGGGGGAGGGGGCTTTCAAATGAGCCCTGTAATTACAAAGATGCACATCTAATACAAATATGAAATGCAAAACAGGAATACAAAACACTATCATCATAGAAAACAAACACATTCTTCATCACCCTGGTAATCACCCTGGTAATGTGGGTAAACGAGTTCATGAAGCCTGAGGTGGCATAATGCCAGTCATAATGCCCTATAGGTATTACAGTGATGTTAATCCCAGTGTGGTAATCCTTGTGTTTTGGATTGATTTGCTATTTGGCTCTATTAAAAATTAAACCATAAATGCTGGCAAATAACCTTTTCAATTAACATTATCGTACACTCTTAGAAAAAATGTGCTATCTAGAACCTAAAAGGGTTCTTCGGCTGTCCTCATAGGAGAACCCTTTGAATAACCTTTTTTTGTTCCAGGTAGAACCCTTTTGGTTCCAGGTAGATCCTTTTAGGGTTCAATGTAAAACCCTTTCCACAGAGGGTTCTACATGGAACCCAAAAGGGTTCTACCTGGAACCAAAACAGGTTCTACCTGGAACCAAAAAGAGTGTTCCTATGGGGACAGTCGAAGAACCCTTTTGGAACCCTTTTTTCTAAGAGTGTAGCTAGTGGTTGCTCTATTATTATTTTTTACACACATTTAAAAGCTTATGGCTGCTTGTTTATCTATTAACTTTATCTGTAACCCCACTAGGCAACTGACCTCCAGTCTCGCTACATAGAGCTCCTGACCCGCTCCAGTGACTATTACAAGTTCCTGGGGGAGATGCTGAAGAACATGGAGGAACTGAAGGTAAGGGCGTAGTGGCAGAATCGTAAAAATAATGAGTTTGCGATATGTAGCACATGAGTTTCCTTTAAATAAGACTATATATGATCAATTTCTGGAAGTGATATGACTTTCCTTGGTTATGATTGAGTTAGGGTAATCTGATTCTAGATCCTAGTTTTTAAGGGCAACTACTTTTCATTGCAACTATTATCTCATTGCAACTCTTCTATTTCCCCCCCTCAGATAAGGAACACCAAGATCGAGCTTCTGGAGGAGGAGCTGATACGTCTGAAGGAGAACATCCAGGACCGCAGCCAGAAGAACCGTTCCTTAGAGGATGCCCTGTCCCGCTACAAGCTGGAGCTCTCACAGTCTAAAGAACAGCTCATCTCCATGGAGGAGGTGAAGAGGACCACAGCCATGCAGGCCAATGTGGCCAGGGAGAGCCTGGGCACCACCAGCAGCCAGCTGATTGAGCTCAATGATAAGCTGACCCGCCTCACCTACCAGCTGGATGAGGAGAAGAGGAAGAGGAGGCTGGCCGAGGAGCGCTATACCAGCCAGCAGGAAGAGTACGAGGCGGCCGTGCGCCGGCGCCAGAAGGAGCTGGACGAGGTCAACTGGTCCAAGATCGACTTGGAGAAAGTGGTGAAGGACAAGGAGCGCGAGCTGGAGAGGCTCAGGATGCAGCTGGAAGAGGAGGCCACGAGGAGGCGCGGTGCGGAGCAGGATATCTCTAAGGTAAGAACCCAGTGCAACCAGGAGATGAGTAACCTTAAGCAAAGCTATGAGTCGGAGATACACGTCACCAAGACCACCATCCTCAAGGCTTCTCAGCAGAAACAAGATGACACGGCCGAGCTCAAACTGCAGTGTGAAAGACTAGAAGCAGATAAGAGGGATCTTGAAGAGGAGCTGAGGAGGTTGAGACTATCTGTGACTCAGACTGAGGAGATGTGGAGGAGGTCAGAGGAGGAGGCCCACCAGCAGAGGTCTATGGGGACGGAGGAGTCGAGGAGGAGGAGAGAGCTGGAAATACAGCTCCAGACCCTGGTCACCCAGAGAGGAGAAGAGGAGCTGAGGCAGAAAGAGGCGCTGGCCAAGGCCACCAGGAGCAGCCAGGAAAAGAGCAGGCAGATCAGCCTGCTCACATACAACCTGGAAGAAGAGGGAAAGAGGCGGAGTGCCCTGGAGATAGAGGTCAACAAGCTGAGGCAGTCCTACACTGAGCTGCAGACCAGTAACATCACCTCTTGGGAGGTCATCAACAAGCTCAACATTTCAGAACAGGAGATCCACCTGGTCCGAGTGGAGCTCGAAAAGCAGACCAACGAGAGGAACAAGGCTGAGACGACTGCCGCCAGGCTGCAGAGCCGCATCCGGGACGTGCAGGCCACAGTGGACAGTCTGGAAGCGGAGCTGGAGAAGCAGAAGAGAATCACCCAGGATGAGTTCACCTGCAGGAAGAGGATAGAGTCTGAGCTGGAGAAGATGACCCAGACCTGCAGAGAACACACCTCCACCATCAACACCCTCCGGGCCAGGCAGGAAGAGGTGTCCACCTCAGGAAGGAAGTATGAGCAGGAGCTCCGGGCTCTCCAGGAGGCTCTGGACAAGAGCCTGCGAGTGCACACAGCTACCACGGATCGCCTGAGTCAGGTATCCGCAGAGCTAAAGGCACTTGAACAGCAGCTCCTCCAGGAGCAGGTGAAGGTCCGTGAGGTCAATCTCCGCAACGAGAGCCTCTACAAAACCATTGAGGAGAAGGGCCGGCTGCTCAATGATGCCACCGCAGAAATCGAGAAACTCCAGAGCCTGACCCAGAAGCTGACCAAGGAGAGGCTGACGCTGGAGGAGGAAATTAGAGGAGTAAAGCAGGAGAAAGAGCAACTGAAACTTGACAGAGATAGTATGGATGGAGAGCGCACATCCCAGATCTCTTCCCTGCATGCCCAGCTCCAGAGCAGCAGCAAGATGATACTGGAACTTCAAGCGCTCATCAAGGACATGACCAAGGAGAGGGAAAAGCTGAAGTCAGATTTAGACAAAGTACAAAAGCAATCAATAGAGGTATTTTGATTGATCTGCAGGGTCAACTCCAAATAATTCCAACTAATTCCAACATCTCTGCATGAATGAGTGGCACTGGGAGGTTCAAATTATTTACATCATTAATTAATGTTTTCTATTGTTCTGGTTTTGTAATTTCCCCAACTTTTGCATAAGAAAATGGCTTTGCTTTTGTTCAGTCAAATAACAATTTTATTGTTGTTAACAATTAATAACTATTACTCAACTATAAGATATTCATTCATTATTAATAATTCCTAAACAAACTGGCTAAATTATATAAGTATTTAATCTATAATTTAATAGTTTTCTCAGAGGACCAATGTTCACCACCTGACTGCTTCCATGGTTTGCACTGCACTCACTCACGATATCTACAGTATATTATGGCTATACATTCACTGGTTGCTGGATATTTGTATTATCTGGGTCTCTGCTAACAATAGTGTTCATCTTTCTTCCCTCAATATTTTTACCAGAAGGGGAGAGGGTAACTTTTTTAATGTGTAATGATTTATACGGTCTTTATCCATACAGTTTTTTTTAAACATGGGAGTGTGTTCACCAATATGTCTTATTCTCCCTTTCCCTTCCAGACATCCATGATGGTGCAGCAGTCTCAGAACCACTACACTGAGATCTTGTCTGAGAGGGACACCCTTCTGATCAAGCTGAAGCAGCTGGAACAGGACAAGACCCGCCAAGGCCGCTACGAAGAGGAACTGAACCGCATCAAGGTCTCCCTGGAGACTGAGCTCCGCAACAAACAGCGTCTCCAGGAAGAAAGAGACAAGATCCACAAGGACTTCACCTACTGGAAGAGCCAGTATGAACTGAAGGAGGGGCAGATGAGGCAGTGTGACTCAGACAAGGACAAGATGGAGAGGGAGAGGCTCTCCCTGAAGAGCGAGTTGGAGCGTATGATGGTGGAGCTGAGGACCGTGGAGGAGAGGTATAAGGGCAGGCTGCAGAACTCACAGAGGGAGGTGTCAGATCTGGCCCTGAAGAGAGATTCCCTGGAGACGGAGCTGAGGAGGCTGCAGCAGAGGCTTGACTCCATGAGCATCCAGACCCAGACGGACGAGAAAGTGGTCACTGTGGATCCATCCAAGCTGATGTTCGATGGGGTTCGCCGTAAGGTCACTGCCCACCAGCTGTGTGATTGCGGCATCATCAGCAAGGCCACCCTGGAGCAGCTGCTGAAGGGAAAGAGGACCGTGGAGGATGTGGCTGTGGACATCCAGCTCAGCCTCAAGGGAACAGGCGTCATTGCAGGGATGGTCAGAGGTCCCCAGGGCAGGATGTCTATCACTGAAGCCAAGACCAAGAACCTAATCAGCCAAGAGAGCGCCATCATGCTACTGGAGGCCCAAGCTGCCACCGGCCACATCATGGACCCCAAATTCAACGAGAAGATGTCAGTTGATGCTGCCTGCTCCAGAGGGGTGGTGGACACAGATGATAGAGACACCCTGATGACCGCTGAAGCAGCCGGCGCAGGCTTCAAAGACCCATACACCGGCAAGCTGCTGTCCATCGGACAGGCTCTAAAGCAGAACCGTCTGGACAAGGAGACAGCCCTCCGTTTGCTGCAGGCTCAGGAGTCCGTTGGCGGCATCTTGGACCCCGTTCTCAGCGTATTCCTGCCAAAAGACCTTGCGCTTGACCGCAACCTGATCGATGAGGACCTCTACAGGGCTCTGAACAAGAAACCTGCCTGCTATCTGGACCCAATTACTGAGGAGAAGATCAGCTACAGTGATCTGAGGCTGAAGTGTAGGATGGAGCCCGCCTCTGGCCTGCTGCTCCTCCCAGTCCCAGAGAAGCCAATGACCGTGCAGGGTCTCAGGGGAGAGGTGTCCGTCACAGAGCTGATCAACTCCAACCTGCTGTCTGAGACCGATGTGCAGAAGCTGAACCAGGGAAAGCTCAGCAGCAAGGAAATTGAGGACAAGCTCAAGAACTACCTGCATGGTTCTAACTGCATCGCAGGGATCTATGATGAGGCCAACAACAGGATCATGACCATCTACCAGGCCATGAAGGAAGGTCTACTCAGACGAGGAACCACCCTGGAACTTCTGGAAGCCCAGGCTGCCTCCGGCTTCGTGATCGACCCTATCAACAATGTCTGTCTGAATGTGGAGGAGGCCTGGAAGAGAGGCCTTGTGGGCAAAGAGTTCAAGGACAAGCTGATGTCTGCAGAGAGAGCAGTAACTGGATACAAAGACCCCCACACTGGCAAGACCATCTCCCTCTTCCAAGCCATCGAGAAGGATCTGATTGAGAAGGGCCATGGGATCAGGCTGCTAGAGGCTCAGATCGCCAGTGGTGGCATCATCGACCCCAAGGAGAGCCACCGTATCGATGTAGACATTGCCTACAAGAGAGGCTACTTCAACGAGGAAATGAATGAGATCCTGTCCTACGAAGGAGATGACACCAAGGGCTTCTTTGACCCCAACACCCAGGAGAACCTGACCTATCTGCAGCTGAAGGAGAGGTGTATCACCGACCCCAAGACTGGCCTGGTTCTTCTGCCTTTGAGGGACAAGATCAATCCTCAGCAGAAGGTTCAGCAGAGCAGCCAGAAGAACATCCTCCGTAAGAGGAGGGTAGTGATCGTAGACCCTGACACTGGAATGGAGATGACCGTGAGGGAAGCCTACCATAAGGAACTCATCGACTACGACACCTTTCTGGATCTCTCAGAGCAGGAGTGTGAATGGGAGGAGATCACCATCAGAGCTTCTGATGGTTCAGGTCGTCTGGTGTTGGTGGACAGGAAGACAGGCACACAGTATGACATCCAGGACTACCTGGACCGCGGTATCATCGACCAGACCTCCCTGGAGCAGTATCGCTTAGGAACCCTGACTCTGACCCAGTTCGCTGACCTCATCACCAGCAAGAGCAGCCTGAGTGAGCTGTCAATCACCGCCAGCAACATGGAGGATGTGGCCACCTGCACCACCCAGGCCTGCCCCTCTTCCCCCACCGTACGAAAGCGCTTCAACAGCATATCCATCACCTTCTCCCCAACAGAGGAGTTTGACGAAGGGAGCCCAATAGCAGCAATCTTTGACACAGAGACAATTGAGAAGATCACCATCCCGGAGGCTCTACGGAGAGGCATAGTGGATGCCATTACAGCTCAGAAGCTTTTGGAGGCCCAGGCCTGTACTGGAGGCATCATCAACCCCACCAATGGCCAGCGGCTTAACCTGCAGGATGCCGTCCACCAAGGCATCATCGATGATGACATGGCCACCAAGCTGAAGCCAGCCCAGAAAGCCTTCATGGGCTTCGAGGATGTGAAGACCAAGAGGAAGATGTCTGCGGCCGAGGCCATGAAGGAGAAATGGCTGCCTTACGAGGCTGGCATGAGGTTCATGGAGTTCCAGTATCTGACAGGAGGGCTTTTAGAACCCGGCAAGGGGCAGAAGACCAGCATCGAGGAGGCCATCCGGAGGGGCTGGCTGGATGGGAGAGGAGCACAGAAGCTCCAGGACACGAGGAGCCATACCAAGAACCTGACCTGCCCCAAGACCAAGCTGAAGATTTCCTACAAGGAGGCCATGGACAGCTGCATGGTGGAGGAAGGCAATGGCATGAAGATGCTCCAGGCTTCCTCCATATCCAGCAAGGGTATTAGCAGCCCCTACAACGTGTCCAACCCAGGCTCCCGTTCGGGCTCCAGGGCTGGCTCACTGGCCACCTCTCGTACAGGGTCCAGGAGTGGCTCCCGCAGGGGCAGTGTGGATTACTCCTCCAGCTACAGCACCTTCACCACTTCTGCCTCCACCACCTTAAATTCCAACTCAAAGTTCTAATATTAAAACACAAATATAGGGGAAGAGGGTGTCGAGTAGAGTTGTCTTCGGGTCTGAAAATTAGAGCCTGGTCTTACCCAAGCCCGATGAGCTGAAGCCCAAGCCCATACCCAGTCCGACATCATAGAAATGTAATGAACCCGAACCTCCCAAAAAAGCCAGATTTCTAGGAGACAGCATATTGATTTAAACTGGTGTTGAGAACAATCCGGCAGAGGCAGGAGGCAGCGGAGTGAGGAGATGAGGAAACAGCACTTGTCTTAGAAAAGCGAGGAGAGAGGAAAACTCACCTTAGGCATAGTTATGATCAACTGAATTACGAAACTATTGGAATAAAGTAGGCTAATGCAATTGAAGGCATGTAACACATTTTTGCGTACAGAAACTCCCAAAGTCACATCCAACCGTAAGCCTATAATACATTTAAAGCAATAGCCATTTGTGGTCAACTTGATGATAATTTCAGCACCGTTTTAATTGGGACAGTGCCGTCGTGCTGCTTTGAGACAAGCGTCAGATTTTTTAGTTTTCACTGAATCTCCATTTGGATATTTGTTTACAATTAGGCTGGGATAATGTCAGCTAAATTGAGGTGAGTGCTCATGGGCATGTTATATAGCTTAACAAGTTAATTTTTCTCTTCACTCCCGTAGTAACCTACTCCCGACCAAAACCCTGTGACTTGTCTTATAATCAATCAATGTTATTTTGTTTCACTGAATCTGTATATTTGGTTGATCTCTGGCTGGGCAAATAAATGGAGGTGGTAGCTCATTTATTTGTTTGCTCATCTGTCACTGATCACAAACATTTTGCATGCAATAATGTAGCCTAAATCAAGTTAATATATGCATGAATCGCTCGCTCCTACCCTCCTTGTTTTCCTTCATCATTATAAAACGTAAGCCTAGTAGAGGGAGGGGGAGAGAGAGATTTAGAGAGAGCAGTAGTAGAAGCCAAGGTGCGCTAGTAGTCACAAAGACACGCATGGTCAAAAACTTTTTTTACACAGTGTGGCAAGTCCGAACCTGGTCCGGCCTGATAAATTCTCAGAACTTCATGTCCGGCCGTCGGGTTTGGGCTGAAAATGACAACTCTAGTGTGGATTAGATGCGGGTAGATGTGATGTGGCCATGTTGTTATGGTGGAGGAAGAGGGAAAGTGGGTTAGATAGGGGTAGAATTTGTGATGTGGTATATCTTTCATTGATTGTTTGTGTTTAGTTTGATGTTTTGTGCTGTTAGCTAAATCTGGTTTGGGGGTATATAGGTTGAAAATATTCAACTATTTGTTGGATAACGGTTTGTTAGAATGAAATCTAAAATCGATGTCAATGTTTAGATTTTTTACAACTTGGTTGAAATAAAAGTAGTATTGAAATGTATAACATTTTACCAAATAAAACACTAACTGCTTTTTATGTTGTACTATGTTTTGTTGTTAAGTAGATGAATGGCAGCTTTTTAATATGACTAGGAGGGAATCTTTTACTGCTTCAATGGTCCTTGACTCACAGCATCTATTCTACAATGTCTACAATATTCATTTATCTGATTTTTATTTTGCTTTAATATCACTCAATCACTGGTAAACATTTGCAGATCAGATTTTGGTTTTCAAGCAATCCTTTGAAGTAACAATTAATGTACTTGACAATTACCTACGCTTTACAACACAATGTCCAATGGTACTGAATTCTAAAACAAGTAATAAACCATTTATGAATTTACCTGTTGAATGGATTTTCTGTAATGATGATACATTTTGTATTCCAAACGATTGAAAAATATGTTAATTTCTAACACTTTCTTTTGTAAGTGTCATGTAGAGATCTTTTGAAGTCCATCATTAGTCTATGGAGCTTTAAGAAGCATGAAAATAAGGTGAACATTCCCTCAACTATGATGATAATGGTGGGTTCACTCACTGACGGTTTGTCCAAGGTTGCACTCTCACAAACTCAATGGGGTTATTGAAGACCATGTCCCATACCATTCACAATGTTCTGAAGCATTTTTACTGTGTACATTTACCACACACAATCTTAACTGACATAACAGTACAACTGCAAATTAGCAATATAATCAAAATTAACACAATCATTTCATGAGATGATATAGTAACAGAAAGACGTCTTAGAGGACAGCAACACAGGAATATCAGTATGTGTGCGCTAATGGCTGGCTTTAGTTTGGACAGAGTCAATCATTAAGCAGGTCACTCCTTCAGTAACCAAGGTCTGCCACTCACAAAGTGCTGTTATGTAAGTCAGATTCCACTGTCCTTAGGTCAGGTGCCAAACAACTGAATCATCATGTACCTTTGTACTCATACACAATAGGAGGTACAGTCACTGTCCTCCAATGGTGTTTAAATGTGTGCTTCTGAAACCCTATGGTGACTGAAAGTGACTAACTTACTCAATAGAAATGACCTGTCCTTACAACTTATTGTCACGACTCATATTACATGTACATATTCACTCCCAAGTTTCAGATCGTGCATTTTCTTTGCTTTCTGCCATACCACGTCCACATGTCACATGGCCTAGGGCAGTGTTTCCCAACTCCAGTCCTCGAGTACCCCCAACAGCAGAGGTGATCCATTATCCGCTCTATCAATGAAAACAAATGTCTTAAAAATGAAGGCAGTCGGGAGGCAAGATCAGGTGGGACCATTCTAGCCAATGAAAGGTTGTTTTTTTTGTTAACCAAATTCGACACACTTTGACTTCCATACAAAAACTCCTCGCTTAGTGAGTGGAAAAAACAAAAAAACGCCACCTGCTGGAGAAGATTGATTTTGGGTCCAGTTACACCTCTCGCTTCGCCTCTTCCTCTCTGGCAACAGCAAATATTTTTGTTGTAGCCCCAGACAAGCACAGCTGATTCAACTTGTCAACTAATCATCAGGCCCTCAATGAGTTGAATCAGGTGTGTTTGTCTGGGGCTACAACACAAATGTGGGCTGTTGGTGGTACTTGAGGGCTGGAGTTGGGAAACACTGGCCTAGGGGGTTGGGATAGCTGTTGGTGGTACTTGAGGGCTGGAGTTGGGTAACACTGGCCTAGGGGGTTGGGATAGCTGTTGTTGCTGACAGTTACTGTACTGTATGGACTGCAGTTTGCTCTTATTTGTATTTCATGTAGTCATGTGATTGGTATTTCTGTAAACCACTTCCGTTCTTCATGTGGGTCTTGATTTGCTTAATGATGGATAATATGCCAACTATGAATAGAAAAATAAACAGTTCAGTTAGTTAAACATTACAATGATAATACTGGGTGTATTTTTGACTGAGTTATAGTTCATCAGATGAAAATACATTAGTTGTGATGATAGGGTTGGAGAAAAAAAACTATAAGCTCTCCAGGAACAGTGTTGGAGAGCCCTGGGCAATGTTCAGTACAAAACGTTCTGGAAAGTTTCAGATAGAAATACCACAAATAGAGCTGACATGATTCCTTATTCTACATGTCAGAGATGCATGTTTGTTCTACATAGCATGAGTCTGTTGATTGCATCTCGATCTGGTCAGCCTCATCGTGGTACACCAGGGATGGGCAACTCCAGCCCTCGAGGACCTGATTGGTGTCAAACCTTTTCTCCAGCCCTAATGCTAACACACCTGATGAAACTATTTCCATTCCAAACTGAAGATCATGATAGTTGATTATTGGAATCAGATCTCACTGGGCAAAAACTGTTTGAATCAATGGTGTTTCCACGTGATTTCAACAAAAAAATTAAATGCGATGAATGTGGAAAACTGATTGGATTTGAAAAAAGTAATCAACAAAAGGGAATTTTGAATTATTTCACCCAACTTTTAACCTAAATCCAATGACGTGGTGACATTTTCGTTGATTTCTTGTTGAAATGACGTTAGTTGACAACAACCAAATGTAAATCAACACTAGAAGTTGAACTGATGTCTGTGCCTAGTGGGATGTGTTAGCAGGGACAGGGGCAAAAGTGTGCCACATACCAGGCCCAGAGGACTGGAGTTGCCATCCCTGTGATACTATCACCATGATCACCTGAAAAACATAAATACAGTGGCTTCCGAAAGTATTCACCCACCTTGGCATTTTTCCTATTTTGTTGCCTTACCACTTGGAATTAATATAGATTTTTGGGGGGTTTGTATCATTTGATCTACACAACATGCCTACCACTTTGATGATGCAAAATATTTTCACCCCCCCAAAGTCAAACTATTCACCCCCCCAAAGTCAATACTTTGTAGAGCCACATTTTGCAGCAATTACAGCTGCAAGTCTCTTGGGGTATGTCTCTATAAGCTTGGCACATCTAGCCACTGGGATTTCCGCCCATTCTTCAAGGCAAAACTGCTCCAGCTCCTTCAAGTTGGATGGGTTCCACTGGTGTACAGCAATCTTTAAGTCATTCCACAGATTTTCAATTGGATTGAGGTCTGGTCTTTGACTAGGCCATTCCAATACATTTAAATGTTTCCCCTTAAACCACTCGAGTGTTGCTTTAGCAGTATGCTTAGGGTCATTGTCCTGCTGAAAGGTGAACCTCCGTCCCAGTCTCAAATCTCTGGAAGACTGAAACAGGTTTCCCTCAGGAATTTCCTTGTATTTAGCGCCATCCATCATTCCTTCAATTCTGACCAGTTTCCCAGTCCCTGCCGATGAAAAACATCCCCACAGCATGATGCTGCCACCACCATGCTTCACTGTGGGGATGGTGTTCTCTGGCTGATGAGAGGTGTTGGGTTTGTGCCAGACATAGCGTTTTCCTTGATGGCCAAAAAGCTAAATTTTAGTCTCATCTGACCAGAGTACCTTCTTCCATATGTTTGGGGAGTCCATCACATGCCTTTTGGTGAACACCAAACGTGTTTGTTTATTTTTTTCTTTAAGCAATGGCTTTTTTCTGGCCACTCTTCCATAAAGCCCAGCTCTGTGGAGTGTACGGCTTAAAGTGGTCCTATGGACAGATACTCCACTCTCCGATGTGGAGCTTTGCAGC